GCAGATTGGAGAAGAGAGAGCAAGCGAGAGAGAGGAGCGATGAGAGAAAGAGAAGGAAAGAGAAAGAGAAGGAATGAGGGAGAGAGAGGAGAGAAGGAGAGAAGCTGTCATCGACTCTGGTGGACAGTTGTAAAACATCACAGCCTACCTAGCACTTGATCAGTAAACGCACCTTCTCAGCCTCCAAGAAGCTAGAATGAAGACCCAGGTGCTCTGCCCCGGACTGGAATCGAGAGCTGACTTGGATACAGTACTGATGCGCCTGATCCCCTTTTGAAAACAGAGTATTTGTGTGGGGGGGGTGGAATAAAAGGGGTTTATAAATATTTTCTGTTACCTTGTTTAGTTTATTTAAGAGTGTGTGTGTGTGTGTGTGCACGCTCGCACTTGCTGATGTTGAGTAGTCAAAGGCTTTGTAGACATTGGTGATTCTTTTTGCCCAGTAGACACTTTCCCTCCATTTGGGGGCGCTCTCTGCTCTATAGCTCTTGGTGGGACGTGGCGATAGCCTCTGACTACAGAAATCAGATACTCAGTACCAGCCTCTCTTGATGCAGAGATGCAGCCAAACAGATGCACCCATATTAGACTTCAAATCATGAGCTCCCTCCAGAATCTATTCTGGGGATAATGGCAGCAGTTACATCCTGTTTCCAGAGCCAACAGTATAAGAGGTTCTAGTCACGTATCCAGCATCAGTCACGTTGGTGACAGTGGTGCCGCAGTCAGAGCTGTCTGTGCTTAGCGGCGCTTCCCACCAAACCACTTTTCAATGTGATTTTGGGTGCTGTTCCGGGGTGTGTCACTTCTGGACACAGTTTGTATATAGACCATTTCTCCTCTCCTGGAATGCGTCAGAGTTACCTGATATTCTGTCATACATTGCTTTTCTGATTAAGGGTTTGGGTTCATTTTTGTTTGCAGCTAGGAATGCTGATTGGTTCAGGAATGAATTGGCTCATATAACTGAAAAGTCCAGTGATGGCCCTGCTTCAGGTAGGGTTGGTTCTAGGTGCTCAACTATATACTAGGACTCTCTTTTTCTTCAGACAGTCTCACTCTGTTGCCCAGGCTAAAGTGCAGTGGCGTGACTTCAGCTCATTGCAACCTCCACCTCCCAGGTTCAAGTGATTCCTACCTCAGCCTCCCAAGTAGCGGGGATTACAGGTAAGACTGGGTTCTGCCATGTTGGCCAGGCAAGTCTCAAATTCCTGACCTCAGGTGATCTGCCCACCTTGACCTCCCACACTGCTGGGATTACAGGCATGAGTGAGCCACAGAGCCTGGCCTAGGACTCCTGTCTCTTCAGATCTGCTTTCCTCCACGTGGATTTCTTTCCCAGGAAAGATCTTGGTACATCAATAAATGAACTTATTCTTTCTCTCTCTTCCTGCCGCCCAAGATACCGAAAGGAAAGAAGTCCGAGGGGAAGAAGATGGCTCTGGCCCCTGCTGTGGTGAAGAAGCAGGAGGCCAAGAAAGTGGTGAATCCCCTGTTTGAGAAAAGGCCGAAGAATTTTGGCATTGGACAGGACGTCCAACCGAAAAGAGACCTCACCTGCTTTGTGAAATGGCCCTGCTGTCAGGTCGCGGCGGCAGAAAGCGATCCTCTATAAGCGGCTGAAAGGGCCTCCTGCCATGAACCAGTTCACCAGGCCCTGGACCGCCAAACAGCTATTGGGCTGCTTAACCTGGCCCACAAGTGTAGGCCAGAGACACAGCAGGAGAAGCAGCAGAGGCTGTTGACCTGGGCAGAAAATAAAGCTGCTGGCAAAGGGGACGTCCCCACTAAGAGACCACCTGTCCTTCGAGCAGGAGTTAACACTGTCACCACCTTGGTGGAGGAGAATAAAGCTCAGCTGGTGGTGACTGCACACGCCGTGGATCCCATTGAGCTGGCTCTTCTTGCCTGCCCTGTGTCGGAAAATGGGAGTCCCTTATTGTATTATCCAGGGGAAGGCAAGACTGGGACGTCTAGTCCACGGGAAGACCTGCACCACTGTCGCCTTCACCAGGTTAATTCAGAAGACAAAGGCGCTTTGGCTAAGCTGGTGGAAGCTGTCAGGACAAACTACAGTGACAGATGTGATGAGATCCGCTGTCACTGGGGAGGCAATGTCCTGGGTCCCAAGTCTGTGGCTCGCATGGCCAAGCCTCGAAAAAGCAAAGGCTAAAGAACTTGCCACTGAACTGAGCACTGTAGAGTTTTGTGTAAATAAAAATAATTGAAACGATAAAAAAAAATGAACTTATTCTTTTATATCGAACAACTACATAGGATAGGGATTAATAAGAGTTACTAGCAAAAAGCAAGAAGGCTTTGAAGAAAGTCTTTAAAAGAGACTATTATTTCTAACATTTTTTTAACAAGAAAAACTTAAAAAAAACTTTTTACTTTCTACAAATGTTATCACTTATCGATCTAGTTGTTATCTTAAGATGTTGTATAACGTATGATTAACACAATTTTCCTGTGAAAATTCAGATGAACTCTCGTGAGATCCTTAACACAGTCTTTTCATTTTGTCATTCACAGGGAGTTATTGTTTACTGCTTTCCTGAAAGCACTTGCAAACCGCTATGATACAAAATTGCAAGAGATTCATAAAAAAGGACTCAAGCACAGGTATCTGATAACTTTGACATCACACTGCTGGCCCCATTAAACTGGGGTTGTTCTTAGCCTTACAGCCCTGCAAAAGGAAGCTGGATGACTTGATAGAGACTTCAGAGAAATTGCTACGACAGTTTCTACCTGGACAACCTTGGTGTCTGATGCTGTATTGGCCACACAGAAAGGTCCTGATGATATCACCAGAGACGTCCAAGCTGCAAACCAGGAAAAGCCATCAGACTGAAACTGCTGCATCAGGAGAAGGAAAAAAAACATGCTATTTTTATGTCAATAGATGCCCAAATCTTGGATCTTTAGAGATGTAAAGATCAAGTCCAGGTACTCCACTAGATTTGGGAAACACCGTCAACTGATCTATTTCAATCAAGAGATTAAATCTTGGCTCTTGGGGACCTTGGTTTCAGGATATTTTCCAATCTCTTGACATACCCTCTCATTAATCCTACTGATGACATCCCCTATGTGTTGATTCTCTCAGGAGTTTTAAATGCTTATCAGTAGCCACAGAGTCATCACTTGATCTCAGGAGGATGGAGCAACAAAAACCGCTTCAATTGGAATTGTCAAAAAAAAAAAAACAAAAACCGACTGAAACCCTGCTTCATGATCTTCAGAGGGCCACGTGGAAGCTGAGTGTAGTGCTAAGCAGTGGGCCACACTCTGAGTCCGACTGAGAGAATGACCCAAAGTGGGGGACTGTTAAAAAGAAAAAGGAAAATAGATGACCAGGTGCAGTGGCTCACGCCTATAATCCCAGCACTTTGGGAGGCCAAGGAAGGTGGATCACTTGAGTCCAGGAGTTCAAGTCCAGCCTGGCCAACATGGCAAAAAGCCGTCTCTAGAAAAAATATTTAAAAATTAGCCTTGTGTGGTGGTGTGCGCCTGTAACGCCAGCTACTCGGGAGGCTGAGGCATGAGATTCACTGGAACCCAGGAGGTGGAGGTTGCTGTGAGCTGAGATCGCGCCACTGCACTCCAGCCTGGGCAACAGAGCAAGAAGACCCTGTCTCAAAAAAAAAAAAAAAAAAAAAAGAATGAAAGCCCTAGGCCAACTAGCCATGGTCATGTACCTGAACCTGAATTTATCCCGATTTCCCCTCAAATGCTGTTTCTAACCACACATAAAAATTAAGCCTTTCTTCCTTGCCAACCTGAAAACCTTAAGTCAGTACAAATAAGCTTGTGCCGCTCTGTCTGCACGCTAGAGACGAACGTGCCGCCGCATTCACGCCTGGTAAGCTGCACTGCAACTGCTGGGTCTCCTCTTACTGTGTTCAATTCGAGGTCTCCTAGTTCACAAATGATTCTTTTGCATGCACAATAAACCTTAAAAATTCTTAAATTGGATCTGACTGTATTTTTGACAAAGTATGATTTTGCTGTTGGTTTCTGATAGTTGGCTTTGGTGTGATCGTTACTGCTTGTATTTCTAGCTTAATGGATGTTTTATTTGGATTTTATTAAATGACTTTAAATATTTGTGCTGCAGAGGTTCACGGCTAGGAGGGCACCATGCAGAAGGGAAGGAGAGGAGGGGAAGGGAGCGCTGGAGGAGAAGGGGAGGGAAGAGGGCCTCATGTGTCTAGTGGTGTCTCCCAGGGTCTCTGGGTCAGAGAGCTCCCAAGGGTGGCAGCAGCTTGGGGGCCTTAGAATTTCGGGGCTCCAGCCATAAGTAACACCTGTCCTGTGAGTTTTCACAGGGCATGCAAAGCAGGCAGGCTCTAAATGGCTGACAGTTTGATTGTTGGGACTATTTTAAAAATAACTGGATTTGTACAAATTTCAGTTTGGCAGCAGTGGGCTTTTGAGCTAACAGATGTGAATCCGTATTGAAGAAATAAACAACCCCCTGGGTCCATACGCCCAGGCCATTGTTGGCTCATTTATAGAATGGCAGCTTAGCGACAGCCCAGGCTTGAAGATTCTAATAACTTAAGGTGGTAAAGGCTCCCTCTTACTACAGCGTGCACTGGATTGCGGAGAGGTCATGTGTTTGAGGCTGGAGGAAGTGGAGGTGGAGCCACACAGCCTAGAGTAGCACGAAGAGTTGATGGAGGGTGTGGTGGTGCTCACTGGTAGCTCCAGCTTTGGGGGAGGCTGAGGCAGGAGGATGGCTTGCCATGATCTCATCACTGCATTCCAGCCTGGGCAACAGAGCAAGACCCCATCTCTTAGACATAAAAACGAGCTGATGGAAGTGATGAAGGGCACTGCACCACATGGAGTTACGGACACATGAGGAAGTGGTGGCTGAATGACGCTGACAGTGCAAGTTCCCAGCGTGTGACTTCCTTCTGTGAAACCCCAGTGGAAGAGGCAGGGCTCAGGAGAAAGGCTCAGACTTGGCAATAAAACAGCAACCACGACCAAAACAAGACGGACGCCCTCGCACAATTACATTGTAGTTTACCTGTGTTAACTCATTTAGCCCTCAAACAAATTGCCGAGGCATCTTTTCCCATTGCGAAGCTGAGCGTGAGCAAGTTGGATCATCCCCTTCCAGAACCGAGGCTTTGTGGCTTGGGTAGCTGGGGTGCGGCCCCGTGTCTGGCTGTAGCGAGCCTCTGCTTGGGTGCTTGGCCCTGCCAAGGCGGTGGCGCCGGTTGGTGAGCACAGCTGCGCACGGGCTGCCCCCAGTGTCCACCTTGCTGTTCTCCTCTGTGCATATCCTAGGCCCACCATGGAGGCCACTTCGTCCACTGGGCCCTGGGTGGCAGCACCAATGGGTCCTTCCACTGCACTGTGGCTGCTCACAGGTGTCCCAGGAACGGCCACCTCGTAGAGCGGCTGGGCTCCCATGATCCACCGCCCAGCAGTCATGGAGAACAACCCCTTGCCCTCAACCTGGAGGGGTCCAGCATTGGATTGGCTGCGGGGCCCATCTCTCAAAGCCTATGGAAAAGCTTCCGGGTCTTTCTGGCTTTTCTCCCTGCATTCCATGATGACCACAGATGTGGAGGGACTGCACAGGATGCCCTCTTGGCTTCTCAGAAAACACAAGTGAGTTCACTTCAGCAGGCAGAGCTGTGGGAACAAGACCGAGGACTTCTCAAAACGCCTGTGCAGGGATCTTAGTTGTGTTAGATGTAGAGGTGGATAAACGGAGTTTTCTGAGTCACCTGTGCTCTTCTGGCCTGGCCTGAGCAAGGCCCAGGGCAAGATTTATTTTTGTCTGACATGGAGCTGGGTCTTGGTGCTAATGAGCTTTTTCAGGCTTTGACTCGGGAAAAACAGTGGCTGTGAGGAGGATTGGACTTTTAGGTTGGGCCCTGGGTCTCTCGGACAAATTTACAATCTATTACCTTCCAAGACTTTCTTCTTCAAAGCTGCCAGCCAGACTGTCCATGGCCCCTCCAAATCTTTCTATAACATTCATGGACATCCCACAACCTCAAGGACAGTTACCTTGCTTATTGATTTCGTAACTGGAAACTGTATTGTTTTGCTTAACACGTGTTCTTAAATTTACAAAGGTAGACTTGTTATGAAAATTGCTTTGGGGCTGTAAAAACTTACCTTTCAAGAATGAGAAATTTGGCCAGGTGCAATAGCCCACACCTGTAAATCCAGCACTAGGGTAGGCCAAGGTGGAGGATTGCTTGAGCCTAGGAGTTTGAGATCAGCCTGGGCAGCATGGCGAAACCCTAGCTCTACCAAAAAAAATACAAAAATCAGCTGAGTGTGGTGGTGCACGCCTGTCGTCCCAGCTACCCAGGAGGCTGAGGCAGGAGGATCACTTGAGTTCAGGAGGTTGAGGCTGCTGTGAACCAAGATCACACCACTGCACTCCAGCCTGGGTGATAGAGGGAGAGTGAGACCCTGTCTCAAAAAAGAAAGAATGAGCAGCTGGAAGAAAACTAATATGGCAAAGCACTTACATAGATCCTAGGACTTTTACATGGAAGGTGTCATGAAGGCAGGTAGGGTTAGCTCCATTTCACAGATGGAGAAGCTGAGGCTTAGAGGTGGAACCCTGCCCAGCGATACAGGATTCAGACCCCAATACGCCTACCTGGAAAGCCCTTCCCCACATATTATGCTGTCTGTAGAGGGAAAAGGATAAGCAAAGAATGAGGACTTTTCAAGAATTCACTTAGAATGTCAATGATAGAATCACGTGTGGGTATCTTGAGTCTGGCAATATAAATGACTAACTGTGCAGAAGCGAAATATCACATGACCTGCTCCTGCAGAGCTGCCCGATTCTCCAACCACAAGCATGACTCACACGGCCAGAGTGCACAACTCTGGATAACATAGATCTCAAATTCCGGCATATGATGAAGATACGGGAAATTTTAAAATTTGAGACAGGGTCTCGCTGTATTACCCAGGCTGGGTTGCAGTGTCACGATCTCTGATCTCACTGCAGCCTCCACCTCCCAGTTCAATAGCGGGATTTCGGCTCACTACAGCCTCTGCCTCCCGGGTTCAAGCGATTCTCCTGTCTCAGCCTCCTGAGTAGCTGGGACGACAGGTGTGCACCATCATGCCTGGCTAATTTTTGTATTTTGGGTAGAGACAAGGTTTCACCATGTTGGCCAGGCTGGTCTCGAACTCCTGATCTCAGGTGATCCACCCGCCTCGGCCTTCCAAAGTGCTGGGATTACAGGCATGAGCTCCTGTGCCCGGCCTAGTGTCCACATACATTTAGGAGAGAGCTGTTCATGGATGGATAGAATAGTAAGCCACCACTCTAGGCCTGCACAGGGGTAGTTCAAACTGTTTTCCTGCTAAAAACACATGGCCAACACATGGCCACCTCCACCCAGGGCTCCAGGCCAGAGTGGACCTTCTGTAATCCGGGAAAGGGACACAAATAAGCCTTTGCAGAAGATGTGAAGGCTCAAAAATTCACTCACTCATTGTTCATTCAACAGATTTTCATTAAATGGGGCCTGTGATAGGACCTGACCAGTTAGAACTGGGAGGTCAAGGGGATGTTGGGGCATAAGGCTCAGAACCCATGTCACTGCCCTGTCTTTGGAGCCTTGGACAGTTGTCCAGAGCACGTGTGGATCACACAGTTAATAATAACAATAATAAAACATTTACTGAGTGAATACTACGTGCCGTGCATTTCGAAGCATTTTACATATATGGACTTTTAAAATCCTTACACCAACCCTCTCAAGTAGAGACTAATGCTATCTCCATTTGACAGATGGAAACGCCGAGACATGCTAAGCAACTCCTGCGAGGACGCACATCCAGGAAGTGGCAGAGCCAGATTGCAAGTTTAGACAGCTGGGCTTTGGAGCCCATGCTTTACACCCTAAAAGGATACAGCTTTCTCACGCTGACTGTATGATGGACTATACCGTTTGCTGAGAGCGACGGCAAGGAAAACCGAGCTGGCCCCCCAAGCAGAAAGCTGCTCAGGGTGTTCTAAAGTAATAGGCAATGTGTCTATATCATACACCAGTGAAACTAGTTCCACGGGGTATGTGACCCTGACCCGTGGCTCCCTCGTGGAGAACACTAGTTTGCCTTTGATCACTGGTAAGTAGGCACCAGCTGTTTTCCTAGTTTATTTTTGTTCTATGAGAAAACATAGAACACCTGTTTGTTAATAATGATTACCTGTTCAGAGAGAATAAATACGTGGGTCGGGGTCTGCTCAAGGCTTTCAGCCCAGAATGCTGTCAGCCCCTGAGGCTCTCAGCTCAGAAGGCTATTAGTCCCCCCCGATAGTCCCATTTTGCTGTTCTAGCTTTGTGTCTGTTTCTTCATTCCTTCAGCACCATGTGGGTGGGGGTCTCTATGACCGA